TCGTATCTCGAAAAATTCGTAAGGAGGGGCGTTCGTAACTAGAGGTACCACTGTATTTCTATAAAAGAAGTCTAAATTCCTTATTTGTACTGAGATGTTAGTTCCTGTTCTTCAAAAATTATTGCAACAGCAATATGAGAGATGAGGTATGGCAAAGTAGTTGGAGATAAGGTAGGAAATCAAGTCTCCCAGCCACCTCCAACTTTCTATGGTAATTCCATTGTTATTCAGAAAGCTAATATAACATAAATTAATCTGTAGAACACATAGCTATTAAGATACGGTCTATCTAGCTCAAAAACTTAATTTTGGGATATGAGTACCAGACTTCGTTTGATTTACCATCATTAGGACTCCTAAAATGCTCAGAGATAAATTCTTTATATTTGTTACTAAACAGAAACAAGTAAAAAGTTCAAACAATTCTTTTCCTGCAATGGTATGATTGTTGCAAGATGGAAATTTGCCTGGGCAATTGCTCCCTGGGCAAATAGGTGGATAAGCATTCATTGGTTTAGCCAGTTAACTCCCTTTTCAACACTTCTGAATGCAATCAGTTCTTTCTACATTCAAAAATTATCATAGTTCAAACTTGTTCTAATTATGTTATCCCATTTAATCCTACAAGAGTATTTCACTAAACCTCAATTTGCTTGCCAAAAGGGTATATTACAAGAATACCTAGATAATGAAATATACCACATTTCTGTACGAGCACATGCTTCATACATACATACATATACACACACACACTCACTCACTCACTCACACACATATACAAGCACAAAGAAATGTATCTGCATCCCACTGAAGAGTAATAAATACCATACTGACACACAGGAAGATAGATATTTATTTTATATGACAAATTATAAGGCGACCACCTGGACAAGTCCCTGCAGTTTTCTTGGCAAGATTTCAGAAGTGGTTTGCCATTGCCTCCTTCCTAGGGCTGAGAGAGAGTGACTGGCCCAAGGTCACCCAGCTGGCTTTGTACCTAAGGTGAGACTAGAACTCACAATCTCCCAGTTTCTAGTCTGGTGCCTTAACCACAACACAAAATTGGCTCTCACAACTATATTACCGGAAAGTATTTATTGAATTACTACATAAGGCAGAGTAGTCACTCATGCTTGTCCTTCTCCCTTGTATCTAAGTTCCACTTCTTTTTTATTTTTAGAGTAGCCATGACTACATTTGTGCTAGCCGTTTGGTTCACCATGCTTAGCATAAACCACAGTTTTTAAACTATTTTAATGATTATTGCAAGCAAATCCTAACTAGAGTTGATTAAGATGCCAGTGCAGATGTGATATTACACTATGGTCTGAAAATGAAAAGGAGGTGAATTCACACGAGACAGGGAAGGATGACTGTATGAGCCTTGAGAAGTAAACCTAGATGTGCTTAGAAAATGAGGCCCCTTTATACACGAGGGGGGTGCCAGGTCCACATTTCATAGAGCTTCCTCTCAGTCTCCTACACATGCAGACATATCCTTCAAATCTGTACCTGAATTGCAATCTTCTCAAAAGAGATTTGCAAAGTGTTCTGAGAAGATAAGAACCTGTTCAGCTAGTAATATTTTATTTGCCAGTGAAGTAATACCACTGGAAACAACCCAGCACTACACTTGCATAGATGGGTTTGTGACTTGATTTGGAAAATGTTAATCCTGTATAGGAAATGGATATGTTATACTGATTTTGTCCTTACGTGTATGTGCAAATACTTTGTGTGCATATGTGTATACAGTACATGCACATGATATTTTAAGGAATCTTAGCTTCTGCCAACTAGGTCATGGAAGGTTTGTTTTTTACATGGAATTTAAACAAACAAATAGAATACATTAACCATGTATAACCATGTCAGATACTGTAACGTTTTTACCTGATGAGTCAAAACTGTAAGACATAAGAGGGCAGATTATTGCAAAAGGAGGAGGAGGAGGAGGAGGGGGGAGAAGCAATTATATCGTTAAGAATGCATAAAGGAAACCGAAGATTAGTTTTATGAGAGAGATTTCAAATTTTAATATAAAGACTGGTCTATATCTGAAATGTGTGTGCCATTTATTTTAACACCAATAAAGATATGTATAAACACATAGTATTGTATTGCCAGGAGTGTTTAAAAAATAATTCAGCTGGACCCAATTATTTGTTATTTTGTGAACAGAATGACTCATTCACTTTACAGAACATACTTGAATCCAGGAGAATGGTCTACTCTAAGCAAGGAGAAATTATTTTTCTTTCTCCTACAAGGCTCAAAATCACCTCCCAGGCTGTTGTGAAGGGCGTTCCTGCCTGCCAAAGTGGAACTCTGAGTAGCAGAGGGGGCACTGGGGAAAGGAGAAGATCGTATCTCCGGTGCATTTGAGAGCTCTCCTATGCAATTCTTATCAAATGATTAATAGCTGAATCGTATCTTCCTGATTGTAAAGACCACTTTTATTTTTATTTTCTCTACATGCAATCCAAAGAAAGCCACTTTCTGGTGGCATTGTCTATATAGGGAATGCAAAATTTAAAAGATTTTACTACACATGCAGCCCTCGTGTATATATAGCTGCTACTGATGTATATACCTGTTAGGCACTGGTGTGCATATAACCTCTGTGCAGAAGCTGTACATGAGAGAAATATCTTTTAAATGTTATTGCATTTGTACAGAACATTGCCATGAGGGAGGACTTTCTTATATCTTATTTGCACGTCAAGCTTCTTCTAAGTAGTTCTTAAAATCAAACTGATAAACACTACAACAGCACTGCATGTATACCTTGATGTAAAAATTTATACGGTAAAACATACAGGTAGTCCTTGGTTAATTGGGACCAAGGTAATTGGGACTGCAATTTCTGTTGCTAAGCGATAAGGTTGTAAAGTGTGATGTCACGTGACCGCATCGCTTAGCGACGGCAATCCCAGCATACCCCGTTGCCGTCATTAAACGAGGACCTCCTTGCAACTTTCTGCCAGTTTCCAACATCCAAGTCAGTGGAGAAGCTGGTAGGAAGTTGCAAGTCCCAGGTGGCTTGTAAGCAGGCTGGCAGGCAGGTAAGTGGCTGCTGCTGGGGGGGAGGGTGCACAGATGGCTGGTAAGGTGCAGTGTGAGTGGGGCAGGGCCAAGAGCGGCTGCTGCCAAGTGGGGGAGACTTACCAGAGTGACCTGCGACCTTCCCTGCCAGCTTCCCCATTGACTTTGCTTGTGAGAAGCCGGCAGGGAAGGTCACAAGTGGCAATCATGTGATCGTGGGACACTGTAACCATCATAATTGTGAGCTGGTTGCCAAGTGCCTGGATCATGATCATGTGACTGCAGGGGTGTTGGGACTTCGAGGACCAGTTATAAGTACCACTCGTTCAGCACCATCATAACTTCAAATGGTCGCTGAATGAGTGGTTGGTAACTGAGGACTACCTGTATTTGAATATGTGTCAATCTTGAGTTAAAACAGTCTATTTTCTATTAGAAATTGATACTAAAAAAATACATCTGCCATGTTTGAAGTAGCCTTGCCCACATTTTTGAATAATGGCATAGAAGTAAAAACAAATTATGAAGATAGAATTAAAGAACTTCTGCTATAGTAAGAGTACATGCCAAATATCCAGGGAGGCACAATATTTTAGCATAATATCTCAGTCATCCATAATATTCATACAAATTTATAATTAATTATTGAAGAACTACATTCAAGACAACTTGAGCCATTGCATAGCTTGGTAGCTACATTCTGTTACTTGCTTAAAGTTATACTCTTAATTTTTTCTGATTTCTGATAAATCAGGCAAAAGGAACACTGTGATAAATATATCCTCTCTTCCTTAGACATTTTTTTTACAAACAATCAGTAATTCTGTTTTATTGCTTTTTTGCTTATGGAGCTGAAAAGGCTACAAACAAGGATAGGCATATGATTTCTGTGGGTGATCCTATGTCCTAATCCTTAGTGGGAAGAAAGCACCTCTGAACTCCAGAAGTTCCCAAAGAAGTGAAAGAATCGGCTTTAAGGCTTTATTAATCCATCACCGAGTCCCTAATTTCAAATGAGATTTAAGCTTAAAGTTTGCATGTGAATTAATTTTCTAAATTTAAATTAGTTGCATTTGTTCATTTTAGTAGAAAATACAACTCCCTTCAAAGCGTTTATATTTTTAATTTTATCCAATATTTTTAAAAATGCATTTCATTATATTTTTGTTTGTATAGTCAGCCACAGAGATCAATCACTGTGTTTAGTCCTGCCACTTGGAATGGCTAACATACTTTAGAAATGGAGTGACTTTGTAAGTACATATTGAAAAAGAAAAGTTTTCTTCAAGTTGGCCTTGACTCCTAGAGACTTGTAATGGTATGTGAGAAAGACCTTGGAAGACAGGGTGAAGACGTGCTGCCTAGGGAATGCCTAAGTCAGATAAGAGAGGGCATAGCCCGCAGCTGCATAATGGAAGAGGCTCAGAAGGGACACTCTCTAGCTTCTCAGGCTGTAAAGGAGATGGCAGGAGATTTGTACTTTCAGACTTGCAAGATTATGTTAATACAGCCTTACGATAAAGTAGAATTAGCTCATCTGGTCATGTTTCCTGTCTGGTCTACCTGGAAAGGCTTACAAGACTTCATCGACATATCCACACAGTTTTCTTAGTAACTGTATGGAAGTGGTTTGCTACTGCCTTCTTTGGGGATATTTTTCATCTTCCCAGTCTAGCGTATAGCACTATTATTTTTGGGAGGTTTCTCATCATGGACTAACCACACAAATTCCACTTAGTTTCTGAGCCCAGAGAGGTGAGCCAGGTTTCATCAAAATCAAAGTACTCACCTAGCCTGCTACGCCTGATCTCATCAGGTGAGACAGGTCTCAGCTTTCTTTCAGATTTTATTTCTTCCAGAATTCTTTCATGGAGGCTACGTGGTCGTGGTGGAGTTGGCTTCAGCTTTCTTGCAGATGCCTGGAAAGAATATTATGTATTAAAGAAAAATATTGGCAATACTTAAGAGATGTTCGTCAACACACAGAGTTTTACCTGAACTAAGCATCCACTGAGATTAGTAAATTTCTAAGCTACATTGTAAAAATAACAGATTGCTTCCTATAACAGTGGCTCTTCAAGTGATCATTGTTCATTTACTTAAATAGATTCTAACTCTTCTTCAGCCTAAACAATGTCTTAAAGGTTTTAATGCTTTAAATGGGAAGAGCACCCCTTCTCTGGGCACTGCACATGCCATAGGAGAGGTGTTCTGGCTATCTGCTTAGTTCCTTGAATCGACCCAAAAGGAGTTATTTCTTGCAGACCAAAGAAGAATCTATCAAAGGATGGAGAGTGGCTTCTATCGAAATTTTAAAGTTTTTTTTTTTAAAATAATATTTTATTGAAATTTTAAAGTTGAGGGTGGCTTCTATCAATGCACAGATGACTGCTCAAAGAACCACAGTTATGAATAAGCAGCCTGTTCATCTTTGTGGTCTATCTGATTCACCCTAATAGCAGAACACATACACAAAAAATAACTTTTTCAGATAAAGGATAGGTCCTCATACTAGAATAGATGACAAAACTAACAGGCCAAGGGAAATATCAACTCTAGCACAAGCATCCAACTGATAGTGTACAAGATGGCTTCATAAAGGCTGCTGAGACGGCTGACGTGAAACAGCAAAAATATATGAGATTTTATTTCAAAATAATTCCTCTAATTTATATTAATTTTATATAAATGCATTTGAAGGATGCTGATGTTACAATATATAAGAAAAAAGCAGTGTTTCCTGTATTCTAAACAACACCGGGAGTAATGATAGAAGAA